TTTCACACACACACACACACACACACACACATGTTACAGTTGCAGTTTGGTGGTAATAACAAGAAATACTGAAGTGACGACAACGTGTTGAGATTACCAGTTATGATTATGTTTTGGGTTATCGTCACATAGAGGATTACCAATACTTCTGATAACGTATATATGTATATATATATATATATATATATATATATATATATATATATATATATATACATATGTGTGTGTGTGTGTGTGTGTAGCTAAGTTTGATACGCGCCTGTGGTATCCACAATGTTTTGCTAAAAATGTGTTAAAAGAACAAACATAACCTGTAAGAACATGTAAGCATTATAATGCGTTGGGTAGTGTTACTTCGTGATCTTTTGCACAAAATGTATACACAACACCGAAGTATAATAAACAAAATGTATATGTCATTAAAGCGTTGGTCAATATATCCAGCGAATGAATGGCAGACGGGTGCTTATAAAGTCAGTAATTAGCCATCAGACTTTACTTGCCTCAGAAATCAATCTCTCTCTCTCTCTCTTCTCTCTCTTTCTCTCTCTCTCTCTCTCTCTCTCTCTCTCTCACTCTCTCTCTCTCTCTCTCTCTCTCTCTCTCTCTCTCTCTCTCTCTCTCTTTCTTTTTTACGTGCACATCTGTTTCACATATCTTGTGTATTAGTGTGCAGACTGTTGCATTCTTTCTTGTCAGGCTTATCTACTCCCGACTTTGAAAAAAAAAACTTAATTTCTCTTATCTATTTCTCTGAGATGTAGAAATAACTCTTTATAATGCATGGTCCCTTGTAAATGACACACAGCTATCAGTACGACGTTCGACAATACAATTGCACATTCTGACCATGAACACTATTGAAAAGTGAATTGCAAAATATCAAAATAATTTTTAGTGGCTGTGAACAAATCGAGGCTTTGTAAAATATATGCTCAGTCAACAGGTAGCGATGTATGTGAAGAGCTGTAGAAGTGACTAGAAGAAATAAAATCAGCAAAGAGGTTATGACAGAAAACGTCAGCAAAGAACCAATTCTAAATTGAATACAAATCAAGGGGTTTACCAAGCTAGAGAGAATACCTTGTGGCGCCATACCACACAAGACATACATCAAAAGAGGAGAAGGACGTGGAGCTCAAGGTAGACAAAGAACAAAGTGTAAAGATAACGTCAGAGAGGCTCTACAACAGAAACAACAGAACGATCTGTCTACGGTAGATGTGGCCATGTGAGCCAGAAGCAGTATCTTATATCTCCTTCGGGATCTGAAGCCGTAAAAAGGGAAGAGAAGAAAAAGAAGTGAATTGCGAAAGATCACACTACTTTTAGTTGACTGAACAACTACCACGTTTTGTAAGAGATGGGCTCCATCAATCAGGTGTCGTTTCCACATCAAAGGCTCCAATGGATTTCCGAACGACGTCCTCTCTCTCTCTCTCTCTCTCTCTCTCTCTCTCTCTCTCTCTCTCTCTCTCTCTCTCTCTCTCTCTCTCTCTCTCTCTCTCTCTTTCCCTCTCTCTTACTCTCCCTCTCTATCTCGCTCCCTCCTCCCTCCGCCCCTCTATCTCTCTTTCTCTCTCTCGTTGTGATTATATTATTCATCCAGAGACTGATGTTCGTCTGTATCTAGCTATTACCTGATTTGTATCAGGTAATAGAAATAAGATGCAAACGAGCCAGTGCACTTATTTACCAAGTGACACCGTTATTAAGACATCCACACATGAGAATGAGCGTCAAGAAACAGCATATTCATACCAACACTGTGCTGCTAGTGCCAGACTTGGACATTATCAAAGCCAAACCTACGTAAAATTAACACATGCCTCAGGAAAGCCGTTAACTAAACCATCCGAACGAACGAACGAACGAACGAACTTTATTTTCAAAGGGTCACAAATTGGGCACGCAGGCCCGTCTTACATTCGGCCCTTCCAGTCAACCATCTTTCGCACAGCAGTTGTATTTTTACTAATAAAGCATGTTATGATCATATGATAATATGCATATTATGAATATTATAAAAGAACACAAAAGCATGAGTTAAAGCATGTTATGATCATATGATGTTATGCATATTATGAATATTATAAAAGAACACAAAGAGACAAAGTTAGAAATGATACTATCAGACAAGACTGTAGGAACAACATTTTGCAGCAAATTTATTGAGAAAGAGAAAATCCAAATGGTTTGGTCATTTAGTAAACATGCAGTCAAAAACAAATACCAACGAAGGTGCTACACATAAAAAGATTTGAAGTGAAAGCATAAGGCCGCCCTAAGAAAACATGGACTGATGATATGTAAGAGCTTCTACGTCGACACATAAAGACAATAGCCTTCTTTTTTCTTCCTTTAGTTCACCGGTTGAAAAATCTGGCGAAAAGTTATGTTTGTTCATCCACTTCTGGATTGCAGTCCTGTTCCAGAACCTGAGTGCCGCGTGTGCATCCATTTCACAGATCTGACTCATTTGTATGCAGACTGCTGGTTCCTTGCCTCTCAGGCGGATGCACTCCGATTTCGAAGGAAGCTCCCAGATAGTCGACTCTTACGACATGCTTTTGGGTAGGCAGTGGGTCTATTCTTGTTTTCCCCATAATGGGGCCCCGGAACCAACACAGGTAGTGACAATAGCCATCGCTGCCCATCAAGCAATGGATCGCAAAACTGTTCCTCCCCACACCGCTTAACGGTAGAGGTGAAAATAGCTGATGATGATGACCCGATATTTATAAATCGATGTTTACCTCTTGCTATATTGCTTTTATTTGTTCCCTACATATGGTTTCATACTAAAATTATGTCTTTTAATGTGCTAAGTGGTAAAACTGTTACTCAAAGTTGCACACTAATAAATTTAATTGAAGCACGCGAAGCGTGCCTATTTTACAAATTTACAAACTTCTTGATTTAGTTCGTGTTCTACGTCACATTCAGTGTTTATATTTGAAAAGCTGCCACAATAATTACAATAACAGATGGTGGCTATCATTACTAGTGTAATCTACCACTCACTGAAGAAATAACTCGGCTATTGCTGCAACAAGTAGTGCATGCTTACGTTTTCATGTATTGCACAGAAATGACCTATTTACCCAGACAGACACGCGTTGCGTCCTAGTGCCTGCAATTCTTTCTTGTGAGTACTGATTCTTGAACGTCTTTCCGCAAGGTTAAGACAATATTCTGTGAAGTAAACAACGATTCTGCAGTATCTTTCTCGGTCAATACGTTTGGTTCTTGGATCACATATTTTGACAGTGCTGGTATCCTGATTTTGTTCTGCTTGTATGTGTTGTGAGGAACGGATTTATATCTACAAATGAATGATAATATACTTAAATTGAACAATTTAACTTTACAGTTTAGTAGTACGGATTAATTATGTCTACTTTAAATTACTAACTATTGAAAAATTAATGGCAGTGTGTGTTTTTGTGTGTGAGAGAGAGAGAGTGTGTGTGTGTGGGTGTTTATATTGCCGAAATTATATATTCATTGCAATCATACACCCTAAAGAAGCAATAATATATTAAATTAAATGAATGCAGCATGAACAATCCCAGAAATGAATTCGATCACAAGCTTAAAATAATTTCATAGCTTATGATACATGTTACGTGAAGCCATGGAAGCAGGTGGTGGATGGAGTGTGAGAGCAACCGAAAGACTGATGTTAGTCATGCACTCTGTGGCGACTGGCAGATGATCTCATCAATAGTGACAATGGCTATGGCCACCGACTAGTACTGTCACTGCCCAGTCTTCTGCAAAACTTGCCACAAAAATTATAACATACACTTTCTAAACATGCCTTTGAATACAAACGTTATAGACTGGTTTTAAGAACATCATGGGTTTTTAAAAAAATGCCTCCATACTTCAAGAAATGAATATTGAAGAAGACTGGCGATTAAAGACGATAAAACAACGAAAATTGAAATATTCTGGTCGCTTGAAACGTCAGGAAAGTTTAGACAGAACAATAATGGAGGTGTATATGCCTGTGAAGAGAGGAAGGCCTAACAAAAGATGGGTGCAGGATGTGGCAGAAGATCTCCAGATGGTGTATCGGAAGTTTTCCGGAGGGTTGTTTTGGGAGCAAGGTTCTACAAAGGAAATGCTACTGACTGACTGACTGACTGAATGCAAGTACAGTCACATATAGGATACAGGTTGCAAGAAATCAAATTAATTCAGATTTAAGAACATAGAAACATAGTTTTTCCATTGTTAATATATTTAGTTTAATGAGTGCCTTACATGTCTCACCTCTCATAGTCTGATTGTATATGTGTGTATCAAGCATTTTATTACCATTTTAGACACAAAAGGCCCCTTTGTTAAAACTTTAGCGCATCTCATATAAAGTTCTAGACCTATATTTATATAGATTAACTGTCGTTAAATGGGTGATGTTGTTTACATCGCTCCAGTCTTTTTTTTTTACCTTATATTTTTAGGTTTCGTGGACTTTGAAGCCAATATCAATTCTGAGAAAAATCCGACTGCATCAGATTTGAACCCATACATCTTTTGGTTAGCAGGCGAGATTTTAGCCACTGCGATACTATGGTTCCCTAAATTATGTCTATAAATTCATCAGTACTTCCTGAAACTAGTGGGAGCAATTGAAGATAATGGTTATAGTATCAGCTGAAATGGCTTGGGCAGGAAACCTGGCCGTTTCCTGTAGTCGCGGTTGCTAACGGCGCTCGTGGCCGTTAGAGGAAATTGTTTCAAAGTCACGCCGCAACCGTTATCAGCAGACCAAAGTTTTCATACCACCTACGCCTGTTTAAGATATGAGTTTGAAAAACACTGTTTGATTGCAGCACAAATTTCGTTGTTGCAGACTGGTAGCGCATTGCCATTGTCTCACAACCTGTTATGCGACATAGAAAATGTATACCTCAGCATCTTTAAATGTGTGACAAAATCTTAAGACGACAGGCGATCCATAGCTAGCGACTCAACTTAATATTTACAAAATGGCAAAGAGGAAATCCAGTGACGAGATTGGTGCGTTGGGATCTATTTTGAGAGAGGCTCTAGCGGAATATTTAGGTACAGCAGTTTTAATGGTGAGTACTGAAATGTTTTGTTCTTTTCCTCTATGCTAAACTTTAAACTTTGTACCACGATATTGAAACAAATTTTCATATTATGATGATGAGTCGGTCATGCGTAAAGGTACTTTTGTCACTCAGCAGCTTTAGCTTTCAATTGTTGTGTCGTCTAGTGTATCCTACTATCTCTGCAACTTTTTTTCTGAGTGCGGATCAATGCGTATAAACTTGATTTTAATACAGATATTAGTCGTGCAGTGTGCAGCGGTGGCTTAACATGTGCTTATCCGCTAGCTCAGTTGGTTAAACCTGACTACGCAGCGACTGGGTAACGAACTCCTTGTGATCCGGGTTCACCCCGGGGCTAGGTAGTAAAGCCACAATTCTCCCAGATTTACGGTATACACTATAGAATCAAGGCCGAAGGGTTGCGATATCCATAGACCGAGCCACACATGGTTTCTAGATATTTAACACACACAAAATCCGCCTAGACACTAGCCCTGGTTTGATCAAAGAAAGAGGCAGTGGGGAGGGTGGAAGGGGGTGGGGGCTATCGAAGTAGAAAATGTGACGAAGAAGGCAATAAGTGGTATGTTCATGGTCTAAAATTTGTCACTGAAAGGCTGACAATTCACTTCTACATGCAGTAGCTGCCCTGGGATTATCATTTTAGACGTAACATTAGAACGTATCACAATTGAAAGAAATAGCAGCTACTCCTGATTCGAACCTACATTTTCCAGTTGACATAGCCTCGCTGAGGCTGTTTCCGTCGTTGACCATAGGGGTTTAAACCTCAATAGTTCTATACAGAGGTAATTTGTGAGAAATGTGTATCTTGTCAGGCGAAGTGTTTTTTTTAGTCATTTCTGGTAGTTTTGTTTCTTCTCATTTGTATTGTTCAGGGTGATTTTGGGTAGTATGTCTGTCTTGTCAAGTGCTCTTTTTGTAGTAGGTCTTGTGACTTGCAATATGTGGATGTGGTGAGTGTGCATGTGTCTTTCTGTGTGTGTTTATGTGTGTGTGTGTGTGCACACCACTTTATAAGAAGACGTAGAATACTGTCACAGAAAAGTCACTATCAAAGATGCAAAAAGATAAATTAAAAAATAATACGACGTAACAGATAGTTATGCAATTGATGTTTAGCTTTTTCGTCTTGGTTAAATGTATGTTATTTTGAGATTAGTTAAATAAGCTGAGTTTAGTTGAAAATCATTGCCACAATACTCGGGCCA